CATCTCCTGATTTATTGACAATATTGGCTTTCCCAGACAGACATCTGACTTTAAATTGTTCTCAGACTTTTTCTATGCAGATATGAGCTCCTTGCCTATTTCTGGTCCTGTCTCTTCACTTCTCTGGTAAAACTTCAAAACACTGTTTCAGGAGATGCTTTGCAATCTCAAAACAAAAGATGTCCTACCCTTTGAAGGAGAATCAGAGCTTATTCTGACTCTCTGCCCTTCGCCAAACACTTGTTAGGTGGAACCCTGTTTATCTACACCCAGCTTGTAGTCAGCCGGGTACAGGTTAAAACACCCCATAATTTCATTTTCCAGAAAATTGTAAAGGATATAGAAGTGTCATATTACATGTGCCATTTGCCATGGATTTCTCAAAAATACTTTTTATCAGGACCAGCAGATGGTGTAATGGTTATGTCACTATATAGTGGTTCGAGTCCCGGACCCAGTGGTTTAAACTCATGCCAGGAGCATGTGCATGCATGCTCAAAATCCCGAGAGGAGAATGGAGAAGAAGGGATTGCAGCCTGACTATCCCCTTGTGGGGGTTGGGGTGTGAGTTCTCACTTTCTGTCTCTCTGTCTCTCTCTGTCTTTCTGGTAAGTGCTCACACCCTATAGCAAAAACAAAACTTTTTTAAAAAGGAAGAAAAAAATAACCTTTTATCAAGTTAAAGAAGTTTTTTTTTTTAGTATTTATTTATTTTATTTTGTTATTATTATTATTTAGTTTGACAAGAGAAGTGGGGAGAGAGAGAGAGAGTGAGGAGCAAGCCACCAGGTCTGAGATATGAACTGTGGTCGGCCATGTGGAGAATTCAGCACCTTCACCATCACGCCACCTGCTGGCCCCCCAAGTTAAAGAAGTTTTAGTTCACTTCTTAGGCCTCGGGTTGTTATTAATGTCGAAATTATACACATGGAGATTCTGGCATTGAATTGTCTTTGACTAAAGCTTATTTTGTCATTTTATATATTTATAAACTCTGGATTCAACTTGCTATTGGATTTTTTTTTTTTGCCACTATCTTTATAATTAGGATTGATGTATAGTTTAGTTTCTTGCATTTTTCTTATCTAGCTTAGACATTGACAACCTCCATAATACCCTCTTCTTCACATGGACTGGCCAGGCATTTTAATCTATCACAGGGAAAAATTCAGCTTTTATCTACCGTATTGTCAATAGATGAAAGCCTAAAATTGATTGGCCATAACATAGCAGTAGGAATTATTGAAAAATAAGAAGGTAAATAGTAGAAGAAACATCTGGAGAGCCTGAAAGTGGCTGTCTCTAGAGAAGAGAACTGGAAACTGTGTGGTTTTGTTTGTGGAAGTAACCCTTTCTGTATTTCTTTCCTTTCTAAACCAAAGGTGTAATCTATTTTACATCCGCTTAACCCGTTTGTATCACATACCGACATATAACGCTCTGATAAAAATCAAAGAGAAAATGTAGAGTCACAAAACTCAGAGGTATCTATGATCAAGAATCTATTTTGAAAGACTAGCTGTTGGCGTAATGGCTATGTCGCTGGACTCCCATGTAGTCGACCATGGTTCGAGTCCCGGACCTGGTGGCTTAAACTCACACTGGGCACATGTGCGTGCGTGCCCAAGATCCCAAGAGGAGAATGGTGGAGAAGGGATTGCTGCATGGCCATCCTCCCTGGGGGGTGATTTCTCGCTTTCTGTCTCTCTGTCTCTGTCTTTCTGGCAAGCGCATGCACCCTATAGCAAAAACTTCTCCAAAAAAATCTATTTTGAAATCTGTAACATCTTCTCTGAGGTTTCATTTCTCCTTGTTTGGTCTAGGTTTTTTTTTTTCCTCTCAGGGAACACATAGAGAAGTCACAAATTGTTTGTCCAAGATTTTCCCATCTGTTATATTTTGTACTCCCCTGTCTCTGAACACGTGAGGGTTCTTCCTCTGATCCTGTAGCATACTGAAATATTAACTTCCATCAAACAAATGCTGGAAGACATGTTTAAACTCCCCTCCCTTACTACCTGCCCCCCCCCAACCATTAGAAAGCATGCAGTAATACCATCTTTATATTCATCTTTAAGTATCTTTCTGGGCTGGTAGAATTCTGTTGATGTCATGTACTAGTTCTTTTTTGGCATCTGGTAGGCATGAGATTTTAGGGCTTTGCTTTGATCACTAGGTCAAAACGTAGTGATGCTGATAGTTGGGGAGATCCTTGAGTAAGGATGCTGGACCCAGTCTGGGCTCGCTGGGGAGGAGCGGGCGCTTTATAGACAGCAGGCCACCATCAGCTGTTTCACTTTGAGACTGACTCTGGAGAGGACAGAGTGGCAGAGTAAATCTGTCACTTTTAAGATAATCTTTTTTTTTTTTAATTTTTTAGTTTTTTAGTTTGCTATAGGGCACGTGTGCTCAACTGGAGATAAAGAGAAAAATCACCCTCCCTCCTCCCAACCCCTGCTCCCCTGGGAAGAATGGCCACCCATCAGTTCCTTCTTTTTCATCCTCTTCTCAGTACTTTGGGCACACACGCACTCAAACCAGCGTGATTTGCAAGCTGCTGAGTACAGGCATCAGATCATGCAGTCGGGCATGTGGGATCCAGCCACCTTAATCTTCATGCCATCTGCTGGCCTGGGATAATCACTTTAAAACAGAATTCCGACTAGTGGAAGATAATTGAAAAACCAAGTATGACAAAAGCTGTTCTTTTGGAGGATTTGTTGTTGTTTGCTTTAGAAACTGAGTCCTTTTAAATCCCCATTAAAATATTAGGTTGGTGCAGAAGCAATTGTGGTTTTGGAATGTGAATTTTAAGTCACTATAACTAGGTTCAAACACATCTTTATTAGTCAAATAGGAACCATTACAATCAACTCATTGTTGCAGAGATGTGCGGAGATGGTGGGAGGATGTGCAAAATAGTTATCTTGGAGAACAGGAGAGTAGACTTACTGCTAAATGACACTGGCCAGTAATAGCTGTGCCATTTTCTCCAGCAACAATAATCTCCCTAGATTCAGGAGTTCCCAGGCACTAAGTTTGACCAGGGTTAGTTTTTTGCTTTTTTTTTTTGTTTGTTTGTTTGTTTTTTAAATTTTCATTATTAGTTTATTTTTTAGAATGACAGAAGGAAAAGAACATGGGGACATTAGAGACACATGCAATCGTCAGTGATTAGGGAGAGAGGAAGGAAGAATTTAAGGGTGTGACAATAACAGAGCAATGATGGGGCCTTAGCACTTGGAAGTCTTGGACTGTCAGGAGACAGTTGGAGTTTGGAGTACTAGAGGATGTGAATGGATAGGAAAGAAGGTGGTAGAGTTTGAATTTTGAAAACAGGGCACTTAATGGTAGTGGCGGATTACTGAGGTGGGGCAAGGGAAGAGCTTATTGGAAGTGAAGTCAAAGTGTGGGTAGGTCAATGACACCCAGGATAGTAGGATGGGAAAGGAAGACGATGGAACCAGGAGCTATTCATCCTCAAGGATTTAGGAGGAGGCTAGGGAATTCCAGAGATGATAGCAACAGCAGGGACTGTAAGTGGTGTCACTGAGTGGTCTAGCTTCAAAGGAGCTGAAAGTATTGAAGAAATGTTTTTGAAACAGCACAGCTAACGCTCCCACTTTTAGACTGTGTGAAGCAGTGGAACATCAGATAGCAATCTCTACTTTAGGGGAACTTTTCTGGGAAAAGTGGTGTTCTCAGGGAGCAGAAGAGCTCCAATTATAGCCAGATACTAGTGGGAAGGTTTCAAGAGTTCCCTGACAAGACACCGTATCCCAGAGGTCAGGGTGGAAGGGTTTAGGAGGGGTGAACAGAGATGGGGGCACGCTGGATGAGAGGTCCTTCAGGGTTCATGGGGGTGAGAGGCCACCAAACTATAGAGCTACTAGGATTGCCCTGATCAAAGAGGGTTGACTCAAGTCAAAGCCAATAAAATGAGAGGGAGGTTGCACTCTGCTTTGGCAGAAACATCCAGAAGGAAATTCTGTACTTAGTCGTCTTCTGCCGTATATGGTTCCTTAGATGCCTTGTTTCCTGCAGCAAGAGGGACGCCACTTTTATGCTCTGGTGCTAAAACCAGGCACAAGAAGACTCAACCAACACTGACTGCAGGAATGATTCCTAAGAAACGGAGTAGACAAAGTGGACCTGCCTGGCCCATAGCATGTGACTGGGACCCTGAGATACTCTCTGGGGAAGTACCGGAAGATCTTCTGCCAGCCTCTTCTCCCCTCCCTGTGTCCTGTGTTAAGCCAGAAGCCTGGGCAGCTTGGATGTGGGTTTTAGTTCCGGGTTATATCTGCCGAGTAAGGAACTAGTTTCTCATCAGACCTATCTGCTGAGTAAGGAACAAGTTTCTCATCAGAACTGTGCTGCACTCAGATCTAACCCGGATGTAGCACATAGCGCTCTACTCTGCACACAGGACTCTGCACGTGACACACTAGTCTCTCCCCCTAAACCTTTACCGTCCATGGACTGTTTCTACCTCTAAGACACCGCCCATGCCCAATCGCTAAACTCTGCCCCCAACGCGTGACTTCTCTGGCCCATCTCTTCCCCTTTCTTCCTTTCTGACGGACCAGCAAACCTCGCCCAGGAGTGCTTCCAAGAAAGGCTCTTCGCTTCTATTTCCTCTGTAGTGGGCCCATTCCTTACACAGTGGGATCAGAGCCTTCGCATTGAGATAAGTGTTTTCTCCTGCAGAACCCGCCGTCCTGGGCAGGGGGCAGGTTGTCCTCTCCCACTCTGTTTTCCTGGGGCCAGTGCACACGCACCCAGGCCTAGGTTGGTGTGTTGCCTGCTTCGTGCTCTGACTCTTGCATGTCTGTGCTTGACGCTGGATACCTGGACAGGTAAAGACCTGCTCTGGAGACCTTTCTCTGTGCAGCTCCTAAAGTCCAGCCTGTTACTGCCTAGCGCAGAAGCTACTAGTCACTTGCGGCTATTTAAATTCTATCACTCGAAGTAAAAGAAAATATAAAAAGTGTGTCAGTGGCCCTAGCTGCATTTCAAGTGCTTAGTGGCTTCACAGTGGTGGGTGGTTATCGTTGAATCGGGTCAGCACAGCTACAAAACATCGTTCTCCTTGAGGCAGAAAGTTGTTTTGTTTTGAGAGAGATTTTTGCTACAGGGTGTGTGCACTCCCACAGGCACGAAGAGATACAGAAAGTGTGAAATCACACCCCAGGGTAGATGGCCACACCCCAAGCCCTTCTCCTCCATTCTCCTCTTGGGAATTTGGGCACACATGCCTAGAGTCCCTCTCCTTGGGGCAGATAGTTGTATTAGAAGGTGCTGATCCAGATCATCAATAACGCTATTCTTTTGGTACTTTTTCGTCCTCGCTGCAGAACCCGTCCTCTGGGCGTTGGAAAGGAGCGGGGCCAGGCGCGGCTGGGGCTGTGCTGAGTGGCGACCATGGCGCAGTACAAGGGCACCATGCGGGAGGCCGGCCGCGCCATGCACCTGATCAAGAAGCGGGAGAAGCAGAAAGAGCAGATGGCCGTGCTGAAGCAGCGCATCGCCGAGGAGACCATCATGAAGTCCAAGGTAGACAAGAAGTTCTCGGCCCATTACGACGCCGTGGAGGCCGAGCTCAAGTCCAGCACGGTGGGCCTGGTGACCCTGAACGACATGAAGGCCAAGCAGGAGGCCCTGCTGCGGGAGAGGGAGAGGCAGCTGGCCAAGAGGGAGCAGCTGGAGGAGCGCAGGCTGCAGCTGGAGATGCGGCGGGAGAAGGAGCGCAGGCGCGAGCGCAAGCGCAAGATCTCCAACCTGTCCTTCACGCTGGACGACAGCGACGGCGACGGCGATGAGGGCTGCCCAGCCCAAGCCGGCAAGAGCAAGAAAAACCTGGGCAAGAATCCCGACGTGGACACCAGCTTCCTGCCCGACCGCGATCGCGAGGAGGAGGAGAACCGGCTGCGCGAGGAGCTGCGCAAGGAGTGGGAGGCCCAGCGCGAGAAGGTGAAGGGCGAGGAAATGGACATCACTTTCAGCTACTGGGACGGCTCGGGCCACCGGCGCACGGTGCGCATGCGCAAGGGCAGCACGGTGCAGCAGTTCCTGAAGAAGGCGCTGCAGGAGCTGCGTAAGGACTTCCGCGAGCTGCGCTCGGCCGGCGTGGAGCAGCTCATGTACATCAAGGAGGACCTCATCCTGCCGCACTACCACACCTTCTACGACTTCATCGTCACCAAGGCCCGCGGCAAGAGCGGGCCGCTCTTCAGCTTCGACGTGCACGACGACGTGCGTCTGCTCAGCGACGCCACCATGGAGAAGGACGAGTCGCACGCCGGTAAGGTGGTGCTGCGGAGCTGGTACGAGAAGAACAAGCACATCTTCCCGGCCAGCCGCTGGGAGCCCTACGACCCCGAGAAGAAGTGGGACAAGTACACCATCCGGTGAGTCCCCTCCACGGCCCCTGGTGTCCTCCGATCGCGCCGGGGAAGTGACTCATCGGAGCAGGAAAGCGGGGGAGGAAGACTCAGGTGCCCATGTGCTGGGACTTCTCACTTCATTTGATGACCTTGATTCTTCCCTGACATTGAATTAAATATATATATATATATACAGGATTGGCGTTGTTTGAATTTAGTCATTCTGTGGCTGCCATTATTCTTCGTTGGTTTTTCGGAGTGTTTTCGGTGCTGTGTGGAGTCATTGCGTCGCTTTGCTGAGCTGTATTGAAACCGTGACTGGACACGCGACAGGGCAGAAATGAGAAAAAGGGGCACACTTTTCAATCTGTTATTAGTGTGAAATTGAAGTCAGACTTGACTGCACTTGATTTCCAGCTTCTTCCTTGCCGTGCAATTTTGGGCAAGCTTATTAAACCCTGAGCCTCAGTTTCTTCACTTGTAAGAAGAAATAACAATAGGTCTTACCTCATCAGGTGGTTGCCAGGACGACATGAGTTAATGTTTATAAAGTACTTAGAGCTCAATAAATCTCTGCTATTATTATTCTTATGGTCTTGGTTAATTCATTCGAAGGACTGGGACCAGCAGTTGGTGTAATGGCTATGTTGCTGGACTCTCATGTATTTGACTGTGGTTGGAGTCCCCGACCCCGGTGGCTTAAACTCACGCCGGGCATGTGTGCGTGCGTGCGTGCCCAAGATCCTGAGAAGAGAATGGAGGAGAAGGGATTGTGGTGTGGCCATCCCCCGCCCAGGGGTGATGTCTCACTTTCTGTCTCTCTGTCTCTGTCTTTCTAGTGAGCGCATGTGCCCTATAGCAAAAACCTCTCATAAAAAAGAGTTCATTGAAGGACTAATGTGGCCTAATCTAGAACCCTCTGAGAGCAAGGTAGACCTACCCAATGGGTTCCTAGGAGCAGTGGTTGGGGGAAGCCCAGCTCTGATGTTTCATTGTTTAGCCCTAGGTGTTTAGGGAGAGAAAACTGGTTGTGAGCAGCCTATAGGTTGGGTATGACTGCTTTTCCCATTGCAGATGGCTCCAATGCAGCTCTGCATAACATTCTAACAGACCCCTTCTTTAACATGTTTATATTTTATTTATCATGGATTCTTTGTGTTCTTTTTTATTTTTTAAATAATCATATTAATGAGGGCAGCGGGTGGCATGGGACTCCCTCATAGCAGACCAAGATTCGAGTCCTGGATTCAGCGACTTGAAAATCACTCCAAGCACACATGTGTGCATGCCCAAAATCCCTGCAAGGGAATGGAGAAGGAATTGTGGTGTGGCCATCCTCCCTAGGGAGTGATTTCTCACTTTCCATCACTTTGTCTCTCTCTCTCTGATGAGCACAGGTGCCCTGTGAAGGGACAAAAGCCTGTGACCTGGTGGTAAAGGCAGCTGGACCCCACATGGTCGACCACATGGTTTGATTTCTGGATGAGGTATTTTGAGAAATATGCTTGGCATGTGTGCGTGCATACCCAAAAGGAGAGTAAAAGAGAGAAATCATCCCCCAATAAGGTGTGGTCATATCACAATCCTTTTCCCATCCCATCAGGATTTGGGGCATGCATGCATACATGCCTGCCATGTTTTTGCAAGCCGTGAGGGCTGGGGCTCAAACCACAATCAGCCATGTGGGATCCGGTTCCCAATGCACAGGGCTCAACCATTCTGCCGTTGGCTGGCCCAGTCATAAGATACTTGACTCACAGGTTTGGTTTAGTTTTGGGGGTTTGTTTTCATTTTTGTTTTTACTTGAAAAAAAAAAATTATTATTAGTTTTAATCAACAAAGGGAACATGTAAAGAGAGAGAGAAAAAATAAAAAACAGCAATGGAGTGTGGGCACACTGCAATTTTCTCCCCTCCATCTCTCCCACCTGTCTGGATTTGGGGCATGTGTTAATACATACCACCTGGGAGTGTTTTCTCAAGCTACCAGGGCAGTCTCTCAAACTGTGGTCAGCCATGTGGAATCCAGCTCCTTTAACTGCTAGCTAAAGGGACAACCTTCTCTCACTTTGAATATAGCCTTCTGGCCACCATTGTTTTTGATGAGTCAGTTTATTGGAGATTAAGTCAATTAATTTCATTAGAGTTCTTTTGCATATGATGAGTCCTTTTTCTCTTACAGCTTTCAATATTGTCTCTTCATTACTGGCTTTCAATATTCTAACAATGATGTACCTGGGTGTACCTTTGTCTTTTTAATCCTACTTAAGATAAATGGAATTCCTTGGATGTGTAAATTAATTCTTTTCAGTGAATTGGGGAGTCTCCAGTCATTGTTTCTTTAAACATTTATTCTCTCCCTCTCTTTCCTTCCTTCTGGTGCTCTGTGTGCACATATTGGTGTTTTGAAAGCTACCCTTATTTCTCTGAAGCTCAGTTCATTTTCTTTTCATTTTTTTCTCTTTTCTTTTCCAACGGCATAATCTCTAGTGAGCCATCTTTGTGTTTTCTTTTTTTTTTTTTTTCAAAAAGTTCATGAAAAGTGTGTACTCTTTCATATTAATTAAAGAACTTCAAAATGTTCATGAAAAACTATACATGCATTTCCAAATTTGGGGAACCAAAATCATTTAATTCCAGTTTTCCACATGCTTTTCCAAGTCTTCTATGCACTGGAGCAAGTCCAGATACTGATTCCCTCACTCAGGACTGTTTTGTTTTGTTTTGTTTTGTTTTGTTTTTGTATTTGTTTGTTTGTTTAGTGACTTGGCTCAACGAGTCCTGTGACACCTCTTTTCCTAGCAGCCTCTGATGTCTCTCCTCAGTGTTTTCCCCCTCCAGTTTATCCTTAGGCCTGTTTCCCCAGAGATCACCCCCAGGTCAGCACAGGCTCTCTGTTGGCCTCTGACTTATCAGAGGCTGTGCCTAAGTCCCCTGAAGCAGTGAAACAGAGCAAGAACCCCCTAATGTATTTTCTAGGGTTCCCAAAATATAAAGTCCATTTGCATTGTAATGGCCCAGTAAGTCCTCAGACTTTGGTTATGATAATGACCAACATGGACCATGAGTGAGGGCCATTTGACCTCTAAAACTCTCACTTAAAGAAAAGAAAGTTTTCATTTCAATATGTAAGATGTTTCATAGACTGGAAACTGCTGGTTGTGAGCTCAGACTCCAGGCTGAACAGTTCCAGACACCTGAAGAGGAATTTGATTATCTAAGGCCTCAGCAATCAAGAATGCCCACGAGATAATCACGCCCTCTTGAACCAATCACTGAACTGATCATGTACCTGGGACCTCTGCCCCTAATTTTGTCCTTAAAAACGCATGTGGGGAACATCTCGGGGAGACCAGGTCTTTTCAGCATGAGCTACCCGCTCGCTCTCCTTGCTTTTGCGCTTTGCAATAAAGCTGTACTTTCCTTCACCACACCATGTGCCTATCGCTTGGCTTTATAGCGCTTGGGCGAGCGGACCTGATTTGAGTTCGGTAACAGCAGCAAGGTTTCCACTCTTCCGGGAGATCTAGGCATGGGTTGAAGACAGCATTCACTGTTGAGGGAATCTGAGTTTGCCCTAGGCTCATCCTGGGACTAGTAGCCCGGGAAGCTCCCTCTCTTTGCATTCTTCAGAGGGCTCAGCCCCGGGCATGTAGTTTCTGACTGCCAGGGGTGACTGAGTTTAGCTGGGCTCTTCCTGATCTCATTAAGCTTTGCCCAGCACCACGCCTCTATTAGTATCACACCCACTAATTGCTAGCTGATGGCTCGATTGTATCCAGTAATAACCTCGGGGCACAAATTAGTCTGATCCAGTTAAAATAGAGCCTCTTGGCAGGGGCAGTGTGAGGCTCACTCCAACTCTTCCCTAGGTGGAAACTTTGCACTGCAGATCAAGATGGAAAATTCACTCCTCACCACTACGGGCACCTGGATCCATGCAAATGTATTACCTATTAAGGTATAAAACCATGCACGGTAGCCTAGTGACTACAGGAGCCAGATCCCACAAGGCCAGCTGCAGTTTGAATCCTGACCTGCGTGGCTTGAAAAACATGGCCAGCATGTGTGTGCGCATGCCCCAGTCCCTGTGATGTGAAAAAAACGGAAGAGAAGGGATTGGGATGTGATCATATCTGATTGTGAGGTGCTGTCTCCCTCTTCCTCCTTCTGTCTCTGTCTCTCTGTCTCTCTCTGGCAAGTACATGCACTCTGTAATGATTTTTTAAATATATATACACACACATACACATTTATACACACACATATAGTATATATATATAAAGCCTTAATTAAAAATTAAATTACTATTATATTTTTTAACTGCAGAGGTATTTCAAGTGAAAAGAGCCTGATTTTCAGAGAGGAGACAGGGACTTTAGAACATATTTGCAGATTATTTTTTTTTTAAATAGGCAAACATGGGACCAACAGTTGGCGTAATGGTTATGTCACTGGACTCCCATGTAGTTGACCATGGTTTAAACTCATGCCCGGCGCGTGTACGTGCATGCCCAAGATCCCTAAAGGAGAATGAAGGAGAAGGGATTGTGGCGTGGCCATCCCTCTTGGGGGGTGATTTCTTGCTTTCTGTCTCTCTGTCTCTCTCTCTCTTTCTGGAGAGTGCACATACCCTATAGCAAAAATCACTCCAAAAATATAAAAATAGGAGTGTTCGTCACTCTGTTTACTCTTAGGCAAAGGAGGAGAAGGCAAGTTTCTAGTTGTAGGACTTTACAGTTTATAATAGAGACACTCTTCCAAGATGGAGTCTCACCTGGAGGAGCCTCATCTGCTTCAACACAATGGAGCCTCAGTCCTTCATTCCCGACCCCTGTGCTGTCTTTTTCCTGACTCCACTTTTGGCATCAAAAGCATGAGCTTTTTCATACTGCAACTGTTTTGCCAACATTAAATCGAAATTTAATTTGGGACCAGCAGATGGCGTAGTGGTTACAATTCTGGACTCCTATGTAGTGGAGCACAGTTTGAGTCTCAGATCCAGCAGCTTAAAACTCACACTGGGTGTGTATGCATGCATATAAGAGAAGAATGGGGGGAGAAGGGATTGCAGCATGGCCATCCCCGCAGTGGAGGGTGCTGGTGATTTCTCGCTTTCTGTCTCTCTCTCTGGCAAGTGCACGTGCCCTACAGTAAAAATCTCTCTCTCTAAAAAAACCTGAAATTTAATTTCATTATGACACTCACTATTCAGAGTTAGCACAGACTCCCTGGATTAAGGGTGCATCCCATAAGACATTCTTCCATTTCAGATACCAGTGCAAATAAATTGCCCAGTCTGCCCACACTTTTGCCCAGCCGGCTATAAATTTGGGTGCTCCCATAACTTGCCTCATTCTGGTTTGATCATTCACTCATAGAACCCAGAACATGCTTCAAGTACACTTACTGGTTTATTATGAAGGATACAGAACTGACCAAGTAGGTAATGGTTAAGGGAGTCAGATCCCATATGGCTACCGCAGTTCAAGTCCCAGTCCTGGCAGCTTGATAAACACTCCAGGCA